GACAAAGGAGGCTTGGTAGAGAACCTGATGAATAAGAGACAACGTGAGGAAGAAGTTTCGGTACTGCTAGATCGTCCCCCTCCTGAACCGCCGCCATGAAGTGCAGGAGAGTCTAGGATTTAGAAGCATCTTTTTTAATTTTACCGTTTTCTTACGTTATAATTTTCATGATCAGACTGTTTATTTTTCTGTTACTTACTTTTATTATTGTAAGACTCTTGCATTAGGATTGAGTGAGGTTTGGTCTACTTCAATCGTTTGTGGGCCTGTGGCTCAGGTTTGCCCATTAATGGATTAGCGAGTTATATTGTTTGTTTGAAGGTATGTAACTCCAAGTCTGGTTCGAGGAGTGACGGTTGTCTGTGGTTCCTTACTTATTTTACTCCTTTTCCGAATGTTAATTCTTTGATTTCAATATAAGCCCTCCTCGTCCAAAAAAAACAAGGATTAATTTTTTTAAATTATATAATTATTCCAATAAATATGTATTTGTAAAAACCATACAACACAAAAACAACCTTTTATATAAATTTGAGAATACATATACGAAGTATTACATACTCCGTATATTTTTTGGATGACATACTCCGTATAATTATTACTTCGTATATGATACTCCATATGACGGGGCGGAAAAAAGCAGTGGGTCCAGATGGCATACCGATCGAAGCTTGGAGAAGTTTGGGAGAGAGAGGCATCAGGTGGTTAACAAATTTCTTCAACAAGATTTGGAGAAACAACAAGATGCCAACGAGCTGGAGAAAGAGTACTTTTATTCCCTTATTTAAGAATAAAGGTGATGCACAATAATGTGCCAACTATCGAGGGATTAAGCTTTACCATGAAACTTTGGGAGTGAGTGATTGAGCAAAGACTTTGAAGAACGGTGAAGATTTCAGAGAATCAATTTGGTTTTATGCCTGGTCGCTCAACAACTGAGGCTATTCACCTTATTCGGTAACTTATGGAGAAGTATAGAGATGCTCACAAGGATTTTCATTCAGTGTTCATTGACTTAGAAAATGCATATGATAGGGTACCTCGAGAAGTTCTTTGGTGAGCCTTAACTAGAAAAGGCATTTCACGCAAGTATATCAGCATCATCATGGATATGTATGAGGATTGTACTACAAGTGTCCGTACTAGTGTAGGGAGGACTGCGGAGTTCTCTATTACAATCGGAGTGCACCAAGGATCGGCTCTGAGCCCTTTCTTATTTGCCATAGTCATGGATGAACTTACAAAGTCAATTCAAGACGATATATCGTGGTGCATGATGTTTGCCGACGATATTGTATTGATTGATGAGACGCAATCAGGGGTAAAAGCAAAGTTGGAAGTATGGCGACAAACATTGGAGAACAGGGGTTTTAGACTAAGTCGGAACAAGACAGAGTACATGGAGTGCAAGTTTGGTGGAGGTAGAAGCAGTGATAATAGCGGAATTACTTTAGATGGTAAGGAGATACCGGTCAACGATATGTCCCGTTACTTGGGCTCCATACTTCAGGACGGTGAGTTAGATGGAGATGTATCTCATAGAATCAGAACAGGGTGGATGAAGTGGAAGAGTGCGTCAGGATTTCTATGCGATCGAGATATGCCGACTAGACAGAAGGGTAAATTTTATAGGACAACAATTAGGCCTGCATTAGTGTATGGCACGAAGTGTTAGACGGTGAAACAATGTCACATTCAAAAGATGAGTGTGGCAGAGATGCGCATGCTAAGTTGGATGCGTGGGCATACTAGAAAGGACCGCGTGAGGAATGAGACAATCAGACAAAGGGTGGGAGTAGCACCTATTGAAGATAAGATGCGGGAGTCGTGCCTACGGTAGTTTGGTCATGTGCATAGAAGACCGAGTGATGCACCTGTCAGACGAGTTGAGATGTGTGGAGAAGAGGCAAGGAAAAGAGGGAGAGGAAAGTCCAAACAGATGTGGGTTAGGGGAGTCAGAAGTGATATGCTTGTTCTTGGATTGGATAAGGGTATGACTTTGGAGAGAGCAAAATGGAGGGCAGATATTCGTGTGGAGGAGTGATCTTGTATTATCTTTTCCCCTCTTTTTTTCCTTTTTTTTATTTTTCTTTTTTCTTTTTTTCTTTTTTTTAATCCTTATATATAAATATTATTTTATCTTTTATATGTATATTCATCTCTTTTATATTATCTTTTTATAATATCTTATATTTTTTATATTTATTTTCTTTCTTTTCCTTTTAGTGATATCATGTATGAATTCATGTTAGCCGATCCCAATATGGCTTGTGACTAAGGAGGTGTTTACTTCGCAGATAAAATCATCATTAAGTTAGTAAGACATGTGATGTAAACACGCACGCCGCTTAAAAACCCGCTTACTAACCGAAAAAGGTGCTTAAAGTGCCGCTTACTAAGCATACCACCCCCCATGTATTAATTAAGCGGCACTTTAAGCTTTTTCATTTTCCGAATTTACCCCTTACCCTTACCCTATTGTTACCCGCCTACCCCACCCCACCTTCTGTCCTATCCTACCCTACATCTACCCTACCTTACCCCAACCCTACCCTTACCCTACCTACCCGAACCCCACCCCAACCCCTAAATCCCTTACCACCTACCCCAACCCTACCACATCGGCCCACCCCGACCCCACCTATAGGGGGCCTACCCCAACCCCCGTATGTGTTGGCCCCACCCTATCCTATCCTAACCCCTACCCCACCTACCTTACCCCAACCCCACCTACCTTACCCCAACCCCACCCACCCCACCCCAACCTAGGCCCCTTACCACCTTATCCCCACCCCTACCACATCGGCCCCACCCGTATCCTACCCTACTCTACCTTACCCCTACCCTACCTACCCCACCCCACCCCCTACCCCCCACCACATCAGCCCCATCCTATCCCAACCCCTACACTACCCTGCCTTACCCCGACCCCACCCTACCTACCTGACCCCATCCCTACCCCTAGGCCCTCACCTCAACCCCACATTTACCCCGACTACCCTACCCCCTACCACATTAGGCCCACCCCGACCCCACGCTACCCCTTGCCCTTACCCTTACCACCCTATCCAACCCTCTACCCCTTACCACATCGGTGCCACCTTTGCCCCCCTATGTGGGATAGGATGGCGGTAGGGTGGGTCGAGTTCTGGGTGGAGCCGAGGTAGGGCATGTTGTAGGTGGGGTGGGGGTGGGATCAGGGTGGGGCTGAGGTAGGGGCAAGTGGTGTAGGGAGTTGGGGTTGGGACGCTGTTAGGGGTAAGGGTGGGGATTGGGTGGGATCGGGGTTGGGGTATAGGGTAGGGTAGGGGTTGTGGTCAAGGTAAGGTAAGGTAGGGGTAGGGGTTAAGGGGTGGGTGGGGGTAAGCAGGGGCGGATTTAAGTTGGAAAGAGTGGGGGCAGGTGCCCCCAATAAAGAACCACTTACCTTCTACTACGTATAATTCACTATGACAAATATGTTTAAATAAGTAAATCAAACGTTTGCCCCCAACAAAATAATTGGCTTGCCCCCAATAACCTCATCCCAAAAATAAAGCACACTGGAAATTGCATGCAAACATGAATTGCATTGGGAGCACCAATATTTAACTAATTCAAGCGAAGAGTCTTTGCTTATTTTTTCTACTCATCTCCAAAGGTCAAAGTAAATAAAGGATTGAGCCATATCATAGCTTTATTTAAACGTGTATGCATTTTAAATGCATTTTTATATAATAATAATACCAATAATCTATGTATCCTAATTTATCTAATTAAATAATATAGTTATTTAGTAGCTGCTATAAATCAGAATCTTTGGTACTTAACTAGCTTGAAAAATTTGTGATCAGGATGAAAGTATTGTTGGGTAGTCGATCCAAATTTATTATATGTAAACTCAATTTTACAAAAAGTCAACAAAATGTAGATAAAATGTTATTTCGATACTTAAGATAGTCTACAAATTAGGATAAAAATGTTACGAGTATTTAAGTAGTAAGCAGATCATAAAAACATAAGTAGCATGTTATTTTAGACATTTAACGGAAAATAAAAAACGGACTATTGAAAAGCATAATATTTAAAACAAAAACAATATATTACGTATTAGTTTCAATTATGCTCTTACAATTTAAGCTACAATGAATCACTTTCAAAACTACTCCGTATCTTAATTAGAACAATTTTGATTTTCTTTATTAAAGGGAGTTCCCCTAATGTATTTCACATTTTATAATTTCAAAATTGGACAAGTATGTTAGTTTTTCTTCCCGAAATAGTTGCGGTACTATCATTAACATTACACTATTTACATCCGTCAATGACAATATATTTTTCAATCATGGCAATAATATAATAACTTATATTTCAGAAAGAAAAATATAATAGTCATATTTTGAAATTTCAAAACATATTTACTCCTATTTGGAACAATTTCCCTCTATATTTTTTTGTTTGATGTAATTTAGTATTGAATTTGCCCCCAATAGATTTAATTTCTAGATCCGCCGCTGGGGGTAAGCAGGTGTGGTCAGGGTTTGGGAAAGGTAGGGTAGGTTGGGGTCAGGGTAGGGGTAGGGTGTGGTAGGGTAGGGTAGGGTAGGGCAGGAGTATGGTAGGTGGTCGGGGAGGGGCCGATGTGGTAGGGGGTATCTTGGGCCCTAGGTATGGCCGGTGGGTTAGGGGGTATGAGTACACTATTATATATCTCTGTTCATGAATGTTTGTGTGTCTATATATGTATAGAGTTATTTTGGACATTTTAATGTTTAACCGTGTTTTAAACCTTTTGAAGTAAACACGATGTTACAACATTGCTTATTTTATGCGCCGCTTATTAACGTGGATCTTAATAAGCACCGTTTGACAACCCGTGAAGTAAACATGTTCTCAGGCTTGGTTGATGTTGGTGGTTGTATATGATACTGGTCGGTTGTTGTTGGTGGTTGTATATGATAGTGCGAATGAGAGTTTGGGGGACCCATAAAAATTTGAGTTATTTAAATCATTTTCTCCAAAATAAAAAGGCTGCAAAAAAAAACGATAGACCTGAGCCGGTGAGCAACCGTGCCGTCACCGCTTCTGCATATAGGCTGCTTTCACGTTCCTTCAATGGCGCCCCATCTCCTTCGCCGTTCACACTAATTCAGCAACACGAACTCACGAAGTTTATTCCTATCTTTCTTCCTTGGGTTCAGATATATGCATATACATCATACCCATGAATATCCTTTCTATGCTAAGCGGAAATCTCGCTACCCCTATTAGATACTGTCCATATCCTCATCCCATCCTATGGAAATCTTCTCGAAAGAATTGCGACTGTTACCCTAAATACGGTTCGGTAATTAGTGGTTCAAGTCATTCTGGGCATATGACTATCCAAGCTTCAGGCTTGAAAGACAATGGAGAGTTAGAAGATGACGGGAAAGCTGCAAAAGGGTCTGGATCTACGGCCAGAGGAAGGAGGCTGTTGAGGGTGCGGGAGGAGAAGAGGAAACGAGAATATGACCGTCTTCACAACTATCCTTCTTGGGCCAAGTATGTCTTTACTTTCTCCTTTTTTGTTTTGTTTTGTTTTGTTTTGTTTTGTTTATTACAGTAGTTTCTTTGATTGTTTTCTGGAACAAAAGTAGAACTGGCGACTTGAATTGAGTTTGTACCTTGTAAAGAGCAGGGTGTTGGAAGAAGCCTGCCAGCATGACATAGAGCTTAGATCCGTTCTGGGGGATAGTATTGGAAACCCCGAGCTTATGAGAAAAAGGGTAACTTATCAAATTTAGAAGATTCATTCTCTTTGAAATTTTCTATTTACTGTCTACAGTATTATTCCTATAGTCTTAGTATAATGCAATTCCAAGAGCTGAATGCCCTTTCAGGATGTTCTAGGGTAGAGAAGAAAGTAAGGGGAAAAATGAAATATATGGTTGAAACTTGAAACACAAGAATTGATCTTTTTTACATAAGTTTCCTAATTTTTATATAATAGAAATGGACCTGAAGTCCTGAACAAAATCTATTTCTATTACTCTCTGTATATAAAAACTAAGAAAGGTATAACATATGTAAGAAACAAGATAAATAGATTAAACATATCTCCTTTTCCTGTTCAGCTCATTTTCAAAGGTAAAATCAAACACAAGAAACAACTTTACCTGGATTTTATTCTTTTCTGTATGTAGCGTTGCGGGAGCAAATATACTCTTACTGTTCAGGATTACTGAACATTGACTGTGCTGACAAATTTTTCTTTTGTCGAAACATATACCCCACATCCCCCCAAATTTGAGAAAAATAGGAAGTAGTTACATGTTAATCGGATATTTTTTATTGGCTAAGTTTCAGGGATTGATCTGGCCAACCGAATTTTAGATTTCGGGTAGTAATTGGTTCACAGCTTAGGACCATGTCAAGTTGTAGGATTAAAAAGTGAATAATTATTACAAGAGTAGGTTAATTGCAATGAAATTGGTAGATGTGAAATAAGAGGGCATGCGAAAGAAGAATGAGAAATTGAGGGAAAAGTTTGTCTATACTCAGGGATTATATATATAATTTAGTGCCACTCACAGGCATGAGAAATTGAAACTACTTTGAGCTAAGTAATCCAATAAACCAGTTAGACAGGGTTCTTCTTCTTAAGTTCTTATAGTATTTTTGTAATATTATTTATTATGTTTGTTTCACACATCAGTACTTTGAACTGTTTTCTTGATAGGTTGAAGAAAGGGTTCGAACCAAGGGACGAGATTTTCAAAAGTCTAAAACTGGATCTGTCCTTGCATTTAAAGTCAGCTTTAGAGAGTAATCAGTAAACCAGCCCATCTTATACTTGTAGCCTTCTCTGCTTCTTTTCCTTCAGTATGACACTATTACTCCTTTTTCACTCTTATACTTGGTTTTGAATGTTTTACAGTTTCAATCCACTTGATTCCTACATATGGTTTCAGCTATACGGAGCACCATCTGATCGGGAAGTTGATCTGTTTGGCAGTGTAAATTGATTGTTTCCTTCCTTCACTCTTTACAATATTATCACTAATATCTCCCGTCATGCTATATCATGTTCATTGCACTGAGATATGAGAGTATCTGGTTATGCAAAAACTCCTAATTTGATTTTGTTTTGCAGGTTGTTCAGGCCTGGTATGTCATGGGTCGTTTAGGTGCCTTCAACTCATCTAATTTGCAGGTCAGTTTTTCAGTTCACGTGTTTAATTTCTGGTATTGTTTTGCTTTCTGTAATAGTTATCATGATTATTGCACTGCATGTGCAATTAGGAGAATACTTGAAACTGTAATTATTAGGAGAATAGTGGTGGATGCAGTTAGGATCCTTGGGGGTGCATGTGTCAGAAATACATGATATATTAGGAGAATACTTGAAACTGTAATTATTACCCAGTACTACATATAAGTGTCGAAATTATGAGGGATGTGCTCCAATTATCTTGAAAGAAACTTCAGAATACTTTTCTGACTTGCAGAAAGTGTGCTGATTAAGGTTGTGTTTATTGTTGCATTTCCTAATTACCATTATATTCCTTTTCACAATTTCAAATGTGTGTACTGTAATTTGTGTCTTAAAAGTACCCCTCAAGAATGATGAACATGTTTCAAGTATGTTGAGCAACTGAATGAATGCAGGTGGCCAATTCATTCATGGTCAACACCAATCCTCTCTACGATGCAGAAGCTGGGTTCAAGGTGATGCCATCGTCTTTTCATGACATTAGTGATGTCGAGTTCCAGGACAATTGGGGTAGAATTTGGTACGACAGACTTCTCCTGATTGCTAATCAGTAATAGAGTATTAGTATGGTTATTACTATTACCTTTAAATAATATCCGCTATCACGCAAAAACTAAAAATATTACATACTTAGAAATTATTTTAAATAATATGTAGTACCAACTATGTCAATATACATTGAAAATGATGCAGAATCACTTTCTGACGACAAATGCGGGCATGAAACCAATAAAAACGATACCCAGCCATCGTATAAAGCTTATTTGAAAAGGTCACTTATTTGATGATTTGAAATAAGTTTTTGATGTGTTAGCTAGTTAAGTGACGGGATTTATAGTCAGAATCTGACTTCGTATCGTTTTTCGTTATATATTCAAATTCAAACATGTGGTATTATTTTAAGTGATTTCTAGAATATGTATTATTATTGATCGACAGGTGAGAGTTGATACTATTTAAAATTAATTTCTCTTTTTATTATTACTATTATCTTTATTGTCATTATTATTGTGGGTGTAAATTCTGGAGATAAGGTTGCTTATATGGAGCAGATGCATAACAGGGTAGATCTTGGAACAGCGGATTTCTTTTCAATCGACGTGCTTCTCAACTGCTTGACAGGGTTGAGCTCAGAGTAAACTCCAACTTTGCGAATTTTGTTTGTCATGCACTTTTTTTACGGAAGCAAAGACGTAAAAGTCTTATACAAATGTATATGCAGATACTTGGGCATTCAACAGGTAGTGTTTGGTGGTCGCTGCATGGGCGATTGGGAAGAAGGGATGACAGACCCTCAAGATGGATACAAGTACTTCAAAATCTGATAATGGGAGAAAATGGTGGAGAAGAGGGAAGAGCTTCATATTGATCAATCCACCCATATGTCCCTTTTCCCTCTAACTTATACTCCGTATATCATAAATTGTAAAAATTGCTTTGGTAAGAGCTATAATATGATAACGGCATAGGTTTACCCTAAGTTCATAATAGTTTAATCGCAATCAACTTCGCAAATCGCAATAGTGGTACCTGGTTTATTAAATCGGGTATTTGTGCTTATTCGATCGTATTGTACCTGGTAAACCACCTTTGATGTTTTGTGCTGGAATTTCAAACAAGTGGACAATTGTTGAACTTTATGAGTGAAGTCATTTAAAGTAAAATGTGCCTGGTAGAACGAAGAGTCCATAGAAGAAGGTACTTAGCTGCATAAGAATCAGACGTGCTTCTCAACTGCTTGACAGGGTTGAGCTCAGAGTAAACTCCAACTTTGCGAATTTTGTTTGTCATGCACTTTTTTTACGGAAGCAAAGACGTAAAAGTCTTATACAAATGTATATGCAGATACTTGGGCATTCAACAGGTAGTGTTTGGTGGTCGCTGCATGGGCGATTGGGAAGAAGGGATGACAGACCCTCAAGATGGATACAAGTACTTCAAAATCTGATAATGGGAGAAAATGGTGGAGAAGAGGGAATAGCTTCATATTGATCAATCCACCCATATGTCCCTTTTCCCTCTAACTTATACTCCGTATATCATAAATTGTAAAATTGCTTTGGTAAGAGCTATAATATGATAACTGCGTAGGTTTACTCTAAGTTCATAATAGTTTAATCGCGATCAACTTCGCACATCACAATAGTGGTACCTGGTTTATTAAATCGGGTATTTGTGCTTATTCGATCGTATTGTACCTGGTAAACCACCTTTGAAGTTTTGTGCTGGAATTTCAAACAAGTGGACAATTGTTGAACTTTATGAGTCAAGTCTTTTAAAGTAAAATGTGCCTGGTAGAAGGAAGAGTCCAAAGAAGAAGGTACTTAGCTGCATAAGAATCAGACAACTGCAATGCCATAGCCATATATACCTTTAAACACAGTTGACTGCACCAAGATAGTGTTTGCAACAACTTAGAAAAGTGTTTTTTAGCTTTTGGCTTAAAAAGCAGAAATGAGTGTTTTTAATGGTTAATTTCTGTTTAAGTTAAACACTTAAAAGCTAAAAACTAGATATAGGTGGAGGCAGGCCTGGACTCGGGCCAGGTGGCCTGACCCGGAACCGGCCCGAACCGGCACTGTTCCGGCCCGGCCCGGCCCGGTGGCCCGGTCAGTGACCGGTCCGGGTAGGCCCGACCTGTGTGGGTTCCGGTCCGGGCTCGGGTCCCCCAAATCCTGAACCGGCCCGGCCGGTTTGGGCCCGTTTCTGGGTCTTTGTAATTTTTTTTTCAATTTTTTTTTTTTACTTTTCGGGATGGGCTGGGTATTTTGGGGTGGTTTGGGGTGGTTTGAGGGTGGGGGGGTGGGGGTTAACTAGGAAAAGGAAAAAAAATTAAAAAGGCTCGAGGCCCGGCCGGCCGGCCCAACTCGGAACCGGGGATTACCCGGGCCGGTTCTGGGCCCCCATTCCAGAACCACCGGCCCCGAGTCCAGGCCTAGGTGGAGGAGTGTTTTTAACTACTTTTCACTTTTAATATTATACTACCTCCGTCCTCCTAAGTTTGGGACAAAGGGGTGTGGTGTGATTTTTAAGAAAAAGTAGAATTGTGTGGTTGATATTGAATTGGTAAAGCGTGAATAAAGTAAGAATGAATTATAACCACTCAAACATTTCCTAATATGGTATGAGACAAACTTAATGGGACGGACGAAAAGGTAAAACGGGACAAAGTTAGGGGGACGGAGGGAGTATTAACGTTTTTTTTACCATACACAACAAACTTTTATTTTTTCAAAAACATTTTTTTCTTAAATACTATCAACTTTTATTATAAAACACTTTCTCTAAAATCACTTACAAAATCATTTTTAAGAGTAGAAGCAACTTTCAGCGGTCATCTCCCTATGAGCTAGAGTTTCGTTCTTCCGCTTTCGTCATTGACAAAGAGCGATCGTTGGTCAATTTTAGTAGTGCAAGCAAGCTCAGGGTCAGCGATGTAGCGCTTTGGTGGTCAGGGTTCGATTTCACCTGTTGTTTCTGGTCAAAGGTCGAGTATACAAACAAAAGGCGGATAAGCTCTGGTGGAGATTGGGTTCGATTCAACATGAAGAGGGATATCAATTGAAGCTATCGTCAATCAATACAAAAGCATGGCTATTGAGGCGGATGAGCGGCGGGCGTGTCCCCCTCCCGAGCCGTCGTCATGGAATGCAAGCGAGTCTAGGGTTTGGAAGAAGATGGGTGAACTCTGTTTTAATTCCGTTTTATTCTGTTTGATTTCGAATAGCGTGTTGTTTTGGACATGTTCTTATTTCGTAGCAGAGAAATTCTAGATTTTAAGTCAGGTGATGAGAAGTCTGATTTGTCTGTCATTTTCTCAATTAAGCCCATTACAGGATACACAAATATTATTGCTTCTACAGAGGTGATAGATGCTAAGTCTGGCCCAAGGGCGGACGACAAACTGAAGGTTTTTTATCGTTTTGTTTCATGCTTTTTCTTTGATTATATTATCAGCCATGTGACGAACGTTTTGTTGATTTATATATTTCTTGGTTTGATGATAAAAAAAGAGTAGAAGCGACTTAAAAAAAAGAGTAGAAGGAACTGCAAACACTCTAAGGCTCTGTTTGCAAGTGATTGTGCTTAAATAAAAGCACTTTTTGGGAAAAAGTGATTAGTAGTAAAAGTTGGTAGTGTTTGGTAAAATAAGTGCTTTTTGTGTAATAGAAAAAGTAAAAAGTAGATTCTACACGAAAACCGAGAAAATAAAAGTTGGTATTGTTTGGTAAAATAAGTGTTTTTTTCTTAAAAAAAAATCAAAAACACTTAAATTAATTGTTTGCAAACAAAGCCTAAGGCTCCGTTTGCAACTGCTTCTGAAAAACACTTTTGTCAACAAAAGTCATGTTTGCAAAACATTACTTCTCCGTTTGTTCATCCGAAAAGCTAGAAGCAGTTTTTTTCCAATGCTGGGTAATTTGGTAATTCTTGGTAAGTAGGGGCATTCATATTGTTAATATGTGTTGTTGTATCCCATTCTCTCTTTCCTTGATACATCACTCGTATATGGGGTATCAGAAACATTAATATAAGAGGGCCATTTTTGTACATTAATAAAAAAAACTACATCAATAATCACTTTTTTATCAAACACTTCAATTTCAACACCTGTTTGTAAAATTATTTTTTCCCAAACACTATCAACTTTTACAATTAATCACTTTTCCAAATATCACTAAAAAACACCTTTTTTAAAGTAGAAATAGTCGTAAACACTCACTAAATGTTACATGTTCAGTACTTATTTGCAATTGGAATTGCACTCCCCCTATGTCTATTGATTTTAATAGCGATGAGAAATGAATTAATGGATGAGAAAAAGATTATGCAAGGGAGTTCGTTTGCCCCAACAATACAAAGACCCAAAGTCCGTTTACGGATGCAAGGGAGCTCGTTTGCCCCATGACGTCTGGGTCGGGAATATCCAGACACTTACGTTTCTCCGTTGCTGCTATCAATGGAGAGAATCACCAAGCAACTGGCGGGAAATCAAGAACTGGTGGCGGGAAATCAAGAATTGGTGGGGATGTGTATTTTATGTGCTAGATATGAAGTATTTTATGGTTGGAAATTGTCCAGTCATGCCCTGACACGTAGCCCGTGCACTTACTATCTTGCACTACACCTGTCCTATAATGTAAGATGCACGTGAGTTTCGTGCAAGTTTTAAGAAAATAAAGGATAAAATAGTTGTTTTACAATTCTGATCTCCCAAAAGTAATAAACAAGTAAATGGATCCACAAAAACCAAATGATGAAATGATAAATAGAGGGATAAAGTGAGAAAATAAAAAGTTAATGGAGTCCAAATTTAGAGAATGGTCATATTTTTTGGACAACCTAAAAAGAAAAGTGTATCATACAAAATGGTATGAAGGGAGTAGTATAAATGGTTGCATTTATTTCTTTGTAAATGATCGGGAAATTTACATTCAATAGCTTAGCTTCTCAATCTAGTTCCTCTATAATCTCTCTGTGTAGAATAGAGGGTCGGGATTCAGGCTCGGTAAGGGTGTGCTATATTTGTTCTAAGTCTATTAATAGAACCTGACCCACTTTACCTCATTTCACTTCTTGCTATTGCCTTTTCCCTCATAATTGCTCACATCACTCGCTAAACACTAGATAAAACCATAAAAGATCATACGAAATCCCAAGAGAATGTGTTGAGCCTTTGGACCGCGAGGACTTAGTTACAATTTATATTCTTAAATTAAACTTATATGAAAAAAATTAAAAGAGGAACATTAAAAGCGTTTATATTGCGATATTGTATGACCTATATTGTCTTCACCTGTATTGAAAAAAATTCTGATTTGTATAAGTCTGGTTTTTATCATTTAAATTTGATTTAATATAATAAATATTTGATGCACGTGCATTTCACTATTGTCTTAGTTTGATCGGATATGATCTAGTCTGATTTGCTTAAGTTGGAGTTAGAGTTTAAGATTAATCAAGTCCAAGTGAAGAGTTTTTAACGTGGAAAGATGTAAAGACAAACCCATAAACTAAATATGTCATACTCCCATCATTGCTTATAAGTCATACTCCATATAACTTTGTCAAAGTTGAGGGACAAATAGAATAGAATTATAAAGTAAACACTATATGCTTGAAGTTTGCATACAGGAGGGGATATTAACAAGAGTAACAAATTCTTTATGCCAAACACATTGTGGTCAATGATATAACTGAGGCACTCTCAAGAAAGAATTGAGGAGGTTATAGGTTCGAAACTCATCATAGTAAAAATTGTTGGCATTTAATATTGAATTAAGAGACTAGAAAATCCAACAAAAAAGATATTTATTTAAAAAGGAAAGTGGTAAAATTAAGGAGACCAAAGTTGACAAAATTATAAAACACCCTAAGAGTATAAATAATAGGACTACGACAACAGCTATTAAAAGCAAGTTTCAATCCAACAGTTTGAAAAACGGTAAGAGCATCTCCAATGTTATAATGTGCACGGTGCACATGTGGCATGATTGATAGCCACATAAATATTAGCAAATAAATTATCTATCTCCTAATTTGAATGATTTTATTCAATTTTGGTAAGTTTTTCTCTGCAATGTCAACAACAATGTCAACATCTAGACGGTCTCCTTGACATTGTGGAGAAAAACTTACCAATACTGTATAAAATCATTTAAATAAGGAGAGAAAGAATTTATTTACTAATATTTATGTGGCTATCTCCTATGGCACGTGTGCACCGTGCACATTGTATCATTGGAGATGCTCTAAGAGTAATCCCACAAAGTAACAAGCAACGTGTTTAAAAAATAATAATTCTCCGTATTACTTTCATAATTAGTTTATCATCAAATGGTTGCATTAGTAAACTCAGTCACCATCAACTTCTTCATCTCCCATGGACTTTATTTTCGAGACTCTACACTTGCTCTGTAGTATCGAGCAGTGTGGAAAGCGGAAACCGCGCTTTATGTTGGGAAAGGGAAACGTCCCTTTCATTTTCAAAGAACCGTACTTTCCCACCTTTCTTTCCTACATTCTCTTTTCCTTTTCTACAAAGTTTTTATGTCTTGCTCGTACACTTATCTTGCCTTTGATCTTATTACTACTGTTAAGCCTCTGTCCTTTTTGCTTCGTTGCAAAGAAACCCCAATTCTTTAACAAAACTGTTATCCATAAAAACACCACCTTTCATGCACATGATCTTGATCAAGTTTCGTTTTTTTCTCTTTTCATGCTGTCTACTCAATCTCAGTAAGACTTGAATCACTTGCTCGAATGTGGGGTTTATCTTGTTTGGGTATCTGCG